GTAGGTACCCCAAACAAACTGGTGTAAGCAAATGACACCAGTAGCACTGGTGTCATTTTAGACTCACCGTATATGTGTGTGTGTGTGTATTTCCAGACCAATTTGGAAGTTATTTGAATTTAAAATAACTTTATTCAAACATAACCCCTCCCCCCTCTGATAGTGTAGACAAAGTCGAAAGTTAGTGGAATTCAGAAAGGAGAAAGTGACATATTGGCGGGGCATAGAAAAAAGTGGGAGTTGGTGTGGTTGGGGTGATGAGTTGGGGTCAGAACTGGGTGAGGGGGTTTAGCCGGGCGGGGGGGGTAGGAAGTATCAATTTTACGAACAGATCAACTTAGGTGCCCCAATTGGGTGAGTGGCTTCCGTAGCCACTCTTTTTGAGTGGCTGTAGAACCCAGCCATATAAAATATGATGGAAGGACTAGTACTATATTATTATTATTATTATTATTATTATTATTATTACTACTACTACTACTACTATTATTATTATTAGTATCCCTTATTATTATTATCATCGTCATCATCATCAGATAATCATTTTTCATGTGATGTGATGCTCCAGGTTATGCTTAAGAGGAAAGTGACAAAACCGTATTCACCTGGTGCTGATTCTGCCAGCACTGAAGTAATTTCTAATAAAGAGGGAGGTGGAGCCTGGTCACCTCAACCAATGCCAACTTCAACTTTTGGAAGCAGCGAACAATGAACCGGAAAGTAGTATAGATGTGGTTGGGTATCCGTTATCACAACACAGCGTAAATTCATATCATGGCCCCCACCCCCGGTCTTCTTTTCCTCACACTTTGCTTGCATTCTATAGACAAAATGGTGTGTTCTTTACTAGTTAGAGCTGCTTATTGTTAAAGGAATTTCATTGCTGGTGGTATTTCCTTCACTGCTGTGCAAGTTAACGTCAAGCTTCAACTTTCTCACTGTCGCCTCATTTCTTGATCTTGTTGTTGTGTGTGTTTGTGAACTCTTCTCTCTAAACCCCTTAATCTGGCTTCACAATTGCATTGCATACCCAATGTTTTGTCAAGAAATGTCAAGTTTGAATTCTGAATTATTTTGTTGTAGCAAGTCTTTTAATATTTTTTTTTTCTTTACCAAAATCTCTGTTGCAGGTTTTAGAGGCACTATTCACGAATTAAAAAATATTGGTGAGATACATATGGAAGAGTTTTGTTGAAGTGTTGCTCGCGAGATCAATAGACTTGTTTGGCGAGCGCTTTGTCAAATGTGAAGCCCTCCACTCCCTTGTGTATAGCTCGGCTAGTGAAATGTGAATCCTTGCTGTACAGTCTTCTCCCCTTTTAAAAGTTAATATTCACACCTCCGGTTTAAGTGGCTTTTACTCCTAGGGAGGGCCAACATTAATTTTTGAATGTGGTTGGCTTTTACTCCAAACTCATACGACACTAACAAAATCTTGAACGAGTTGTCTTTTTAAAAATTGTCTGTGAAACAGACACCTGTTTGCTTAGTCTAAGAAATTTAGTCTGTGATGTAAATGCATTGTACATGTAGCATGCAACTCATTATGCAAGAGAATGTGCCCAAGGACATTTTTAATGCCAAGTAAATAATTTTGTCCCTGATCCATCACCCCATCATTTCTGATAGAGCCAGGGATATTCTTTTTCTTCTTTGAGGTATGATATTTCGTAAAGTAAATTAACTCTTTAATCTGATCATATTTCTTATATAGTGAAGGAGCCGTTAGTCAATGCAACTTTCAGCATTCATCACGGGTCATCTGGAAATAGTTACTACATCCCCCCCCCCCCCTCTCAAAATAAAGGTTTTGGTTTGACTTTTAAGAAAAAGTAAAATTTTATAATAGATGTTTATGTAGAGATAAATAATACGGAGTATGAACCACTCATTTTTTTACTTAAATGGAAAGCGACATTTATTTTGAGACATTCAAATGAGAAATACATGATGTTTATTTTGGGATAGAGGGAATACTCTAATTGTAGATGTTTACACCAATGGAGACTTGAACTAGTACTCCTTTCATATCAATTTGAGATTAAAATTATCTACAAATTTTGTATACAAATTATGGTGTAGAATTTATATAAAAAAAAATCATGTTTTTAAAATTAGATCAAAAGTTTTACGAATAAAGAGATAGATAGTTATTTTATCAAATGAACTAGTAAAAACAAGCAAAACAAAAAAAGGAGGTGTTAAAGTTTGATGATTTGAATAGGGAGGGAGCACAAATGAATGATTTGCTGGTAAGCTAAGGTGAGCCGAATGAAAGGTGGCGTATGAGAATCAGTGGTCGTTTTTACCACCCAATTTGGAGCGCCTGGGGCTAAATGTCCCTCCCTTTCCTCCTCCTCCTCCTCCTATTCCAATCCTCGGACTGTGTACTACCATTTGATGATGATGATGATGATCAGAGAGTCTGGGACTAGCACTACTACCAGACTCCCTCCCATTGAAACTTCTACTTGCTGCTGCTACCCTAATGGAGCTGCTGCTGCACAAACGCCGAAGCTCACCCCGACTTCTTGTCACCATTCCATCCATAATCTCCTTCTCGTCTGCTGCCCCAAATGTTGCCGATATGCTCTTGTCATCCCCAAACGTCGCCGATCTTGAAACCCACTCACCTTCCTCGTCCTGATTCACCAGCACAGCACCCGGTTGTTAGGGATTTGGAGTTCCATCTAAAAGGTAAGGATGGATATTACACTTTACTGATAATACATGAATAATATAGTAGAGCTTACTGATCTCGTGGTGAATGGTAAAGCTGGAAATTCTTCATAATCCGAAGCGTCTAATTCTTGAAGATGTGCCCTTTTGAAAAACTTGGGCAAAACAAATTGTCTTATGGGGACAAGCAACATGATCATTAGGGGGAACAACACCCCGGCGATGGGTATCCATGTGATCCCTAAGCATGCCACCAGGTATGCTGCTTGGAATATGGTGAAAATTGTTATTGTCTTGAAAGGCACTGATTCCACAAACGTCGCGTGATAGTCTTCTAGAACTCTATGCCACCAAGGAAGAAAGAAAGAAAAAAAGTTAGATGGAACACAGGCCAACAGCTTGAAAGTTAGTTGGGCAGTTGCTTGCTTGCTTACTTGTATCTTCTGCTTGGGGGTGTGCAGAGCAGTAAGATCCGCTCCCAAAATTGATTGCCTGGCAAGCTTTCGATTGCCATGAATGCAAAATAGCCCCAAAGTACAGAGGTTGGGATCATTTTGAGAAGTGGCATGGCAGCCACACACCCACCCACCATCATTGACTGTAAAAGGTTACTCACCCTCTGCTCTTTTACTTCGACTGGCAGTAAGTCGTCAATGTTCTTCTCTACATCAAACTCTCTGCCCTCATCAAGTCCCACTNCAAGGAAGAAAGAAAGCAAAAAGTTAGATGGAATGCAGGCCAACAGCTTGAAAGTTAGTCGGGCAGTTTCTTGCTTGCTTGCTTACTTGTATCTTCTGCTTGGGGGTGTGCAGAGCAGTAAGATCCGCTCCCAGAATTGATTGCCTGGCAAGCTTTCGATTGCCATGAATGCAAAATAGCCCCAAAGTACAGAGGTTGGGATCATTTTGAGAAGTGGCATGGCAGCCACACACCCACCCACCATCATTGACTGTAAAAGGTTACTCACCCTCTGCTCTTTTACTTCGACTGGCAGTAAGTCGTCAATGTTCTTCTCTACATCAAACTCTCTGCCCTCATCAAGTCCCACTACATTGCTACCAGTCGTTTGCTGCAGTACATTTGGATCTTTCAGCCCCTGCCCATACACTCACTCACCCTCAAGGTCAATCAACGGATCGGACTTGAGTTTTCAGTCATAAATGAAACCACACAATGCATCAGAAGATGCATATGTATATGTGTTTGTGTGCATCACTCACCTTATTACTAGCTGATGGTTGTTGATAATGAAGTGGAGTTTGCATGTGCTGATATGCCTCTTGCATCCGTCCATACACTTGACCCAAGCTCCCATTCTCATTCATGCATCTCCTTGCCGTTGCAACAAGTCGACTGCGCATCAACTGCATTCATACCACTCCAAGTGATCAACCACTTCAAGATAAGCAACTGCACTGCAAGTGTAAGTGTACTGCATACGCAAGCTAAGTTTGAGCTATATATGGATCAGAGTGCACTCCTACCTGATGCTTCAGTGTAGCCAAACTTTTAGTGTGCATTGGAGACTGTGGAATGACACCATTAGATGGGGGGATTCCAAGGAGACCACAAATCATGACCTGCCACAATAACGACCTTGTATATCCAATCACTTGATACTTGATCCATGATGTTGGAGCTGAATAATGTCATATATGTATATGTACCATGAAACCCAATAAAAGCAAATCATAATGATAGGAAGATGGCTTCCTCAAATTGAATTCACTTTGCTGAGCTAGTTGCGATGCCACGCTGTGATCGAAGTAATACAGCACTGCCACCATTGTTGCTGGAATAAAAGCACCTATTATGTAAACCACCGGCACACTTGTCATGTCCTGCATGCATCATATTGGAGGCTTAGTGTTATTAAGACACCCACCAGTTGAGGACAACTTCTTATTAAAACACCAGTTGAGGGTAAATTCTTAGAAGTGGGCATATGCCTTAATGACTGTCCAGTTCTCATATGCACCGGGTGACCACGGATTAGGGCTGAATAGGCGCCTTGGGACGCCGTCTGGAATGCTGTGGCTGGGTGTATAAGAGACAGCTGTCCACATGAGAACCATCAACGGAACACCATAATCTGCAATGAGCCCTCTAATGCTGCCTGCTCCATATCTCCAAGACCTTGCTGTTTTGCTCTTTAGTGCAGTGAGGAGAAGACCAAAAGAAAGAACCAAAGCAAACATCCCATTCGCGAACCTCCAACAAGGTTGGTACTCTGTTAAATTCGGGCTTTCTCTTTCGGGTACACGGAACTCATCCACAAGTCCCTAAAAATCATCCACCACATGAATGCAGCCCTTAAATCTTTCTAATCAAGCGTCATATGATTTAGAACACAAAAAAAGAATAAAAAATCCCTAATGTTGTTAATACTTTGATGGCCTGTTGCAAGAAAAGCACTGCAATGAGGAGGCCAAACAGCTCCCCAGCCAGACGAGTAAACCTGTTGATAATAGAGCATGCTCCGAGGATAGCCAAAAGGATCAGCAAAACTGCGCTCCAAACGCATACCCTGAAATAGAAAACTTGATATGCGGGCACCAATTGAGGTAGAAGAAGATATAGCAATTGAAATTAAGGAATGGAGTGATGAAGAGAGAGGAGAGGAGAGGAGAGGACGCACCAGGCAGTCCAAGGGAGAAAGAGTTTAGAGCCGAGGTCTGGTCTGTGTTTGGCAAAGTTGTACATGAAGGTATACATGAGCACGGTAGGTTCGGCAACACCGAGGATGAGGAGAGGCTGGCCTCCAATGATGGAGTGTATGATCCCACAAAGTGCAGTGGAAGCTAAGGTCTGAACCGCGGTGATGAACCCATCTGTATTTCTTTCCAGCTGCTCTCCAAATGAGATGACTGGGATTGCGGAAGCAAAGAATATGTATGTGGTGGGGGCTAAAATCCTACATACATACGTACAGTAGTATATAATTTCCAATCTTGTATATATATAGAGAGGTTAGAAAGAGAGGGGGAGGGACCTGAAGCCAGCGGTAAAGCCGCCAGTCCAATCTTGTTTATAGCACAACAGCCTCCCTCTGAGATCATCTTTTACCCCGCGGAGCGGTACGATAAACGTCTCTGCACCTTCCATTCTATGTATATATCGGTTGGTTCGTCGTCACAGCCCTTTGTGATCTAGATTCAAACAGAAGAAGCAGCAGCAGCGACATACAAATGAACTGCTCCGAGTAATTTAGAAGATATGATTATGTATATATATATATACCTCTGCGCGGGGACTAGTAGAGGAGGGTGATTGGGCGGGCGGGTAAGAAATGAAATTGATGGAAGAATGTGGGCGGCGAGGAGCGGCCGCCGGCAAGTGAAGGTTAAACTAACAAATCAAGCCGTCGCTGTTTTGTACGTAGCTGGTGAGTGGTGAGCTGAGACGAGAGAGAGACGAATTGCTTAAAAAGAAAAGAAGACAAATAGGGGCAAAATTAATTAATGACAGTACGTACATCTTTGTCTTCTTCTTCCCTCCTTCCTACTTCATAGTCACATGCACTCCATACTTGCCACTCATGCCAACCACAGCCGGTTTAAACTTTACAGCCGGTTGGGATCCCCCCCCCCCAAATTTAGACCCAAATTTGGGATCAAACTTAATAACGTTATTAGAGCCTTGGTCTAGACACTTTAGACCCAAATTTCCATCAATAAGTTTGATGAGGTAGGTAATATTTTTAATTGCAAGTTTAAAATTAAAAATAGCCAAATTTTTAATAGTTTGACTTTAGCTTTTAGTATATGGTTGGTGTACAAGCTTGAGTACCACTGTCCCTATCAATATTAAATTTTATTTTCAATTTAATTTATTTAAACAATAATACAAAAATAATCTAGTATGTGAAACTTTTTCTATCGAGAGTAAGGATTCAAAGGGACTTTGGGAGTATTATAGCATTTCTGGTGCAGTTATAATTGGGCAATGCTAGGGGTACACCAACATGAGGTACCCCATTTGTACACCAGACTAACACAAAATGTATGTGCAAGCACAGATATTATGTGTCTGTGTGTGTTTATAATAGCTTGATGCACAAATGAGGTATCCCATATTGGTGTACCCCTAGGTCAATTCGTTATAATTACATGCATGCACTTCTTTTGTCCCAAATTAAATAGCATGTTTATTTTTCATATGATCAAGTTTCATTCACTTTCTTTCCCTGTTTTTGTTAGTTATTTGATAAAATAATATAGTCATGTCATCACTAGTTTTATAGATCTTTTGATGTAGTTTTTATTTTTAAATTTAATTCTACGCATTTTTTTAAATAAAATGATTTGAAATAACATTAGTCAAACATTGTAAACTGAAACAAGCAATTTAAATTCAAGACGGAGCAAGTACCAAGTATGGGAGTACAATTTAAAACTTTAAGGGAGAAAAACCAAAATAGCACTCTTAGAGTCTTAAAATACTTTAAATAGCAGTGTCATATGTTACTTGTGATTCTGATTTTGTCATTTAATTAAACAGCAAATATTCATCACACACTGCCAAAAAATATGACTGTTTTGGGCAGTGTGGTTGTTCACTTATAACTGCGTAGTAGGCAGTATGGTTTTTATATGTGAGCATTTAATGTGACAGTATAGAATGGATATATGTTATTATATCTTACGGCAGTGTGTAAGTGCATTATTGTGTTTTTTAATTTCATGTTAGAGTGTAATGTCCATTGATTTGTGTGACAGTGTTTTCATGTATAAATTCTACAATGTCAAAAAAATGTATGACTATTTTCATGTATGAATTCTACGTTGCCCTAAAAATATATAGCTCTTTTTATGTATGAATTCCACACTGGCGAAAATTTATGTGATTGTTTTCATGTATGAATTCTACACTACCCAAAAATGTATGACTGATTTCATGAATAATCTATTACACCAAAACACATTGACCAAACATGGAGCATTAAATGTGGAACTTAATTTAATACGTACACTAAAATATATAACACTTATTCGTACATGTGATAATTTTTCAATCCTGGTGTTCGGTGCACTGTTCTAAGACGCCTCATGCATGAATTTTCAAATCATTTGTTTCCAATTAGGACCTCCACTGCCTCTCTTCCATGCAATTTCCTCTTTGTTTAATTATTTCTTTAAATTATAAATTTTCATACTCTTTTACACATTCATACAATCCAGGCCTCTAAGTCTCAACTTCCGACAACTCTATATATTAAAAAAAAATTAGCAATGTCAAAAATTTAATTTAACTTATTTTAACACCTCATCATTTGCTTAGAACACTCTAGTGCCTCTTCAGTTCTTTCATGGGAACATAATGTTGTAACATAATGACCATGTGAACATTGCCTTTGCTTTACCAAGTAGTTTCACAAACTGTCGCCCAAATCAATCGTATGATTCTTAAAGAAAAAGTTTCCATGCTGCGTGTTGTTGGCAAGAACTCTCGTTCAGTCATCTTGATTTATAGTAAATTGTCATTGAATCATTAACAAAACTGAATCGACAAAAAATACTCCATCCGTCCATAAATAAACTTCCTGTTACGCGTTACGATATTTGACTTAAGTTATTTTCAAATCATTTTATATGAAAAATGGTGTAAAATTTAAAAATAAAATTACATATTAAAAAACTATACCAAAAGATCTACAAAACTAGAAGTGATATGACTATATTATTTTATCAAATGGATGACGAAAATAGGCTAACAAAGTAATAAAGTTTGACCATGTGAATAGTGAATGAGAAGTTTATTTGTGGACGGAGGAAGTATCAAATTTGAATGTAAACAAAATTAATTCAATAACAAAACACACCCAAAACTTCATCAACAGAAATGAATCAATACCTTACATATAGAAACATAGTAAATTGCTATATTAAAGTGTCCATACATTGTCAAAAAAGACCACATTAAATGTCACATAAAGTTGGGAACAAATAGTAAAATGCAGAAGATTTTTTTGTTCTTTTTTCCATTTTGTATTAAGGGTTCTAACGGTGGATGAACATGTTATGATATTTAGAAATGAGAATTAGGTAGTGCACACCTTGACAGCGAAACCAATGTGATCTGAGAATATTGGGAGATGGGGAAGCCTAACAAATAATTCTAAACTTGGGACAATGTGTTTACATTATGCAATAGATGAATATCCTGGTGTTTTTCCTGCCCTTATGAAACTTGCTCCTACAAGGTAAATTCTGTTTCTCACTATACACTAAGGCACTGCTGGTTGTCTGATTTATACAAATAAGTTTATTTCCTAGCAGTAAATCCTACGTCCTTTATTTGTTTACTTTTGTTATTTCAGGTAGCTAAGATCTTCTATGCTATATATGAAATGTTTGGACTAGAGATTCGCAAGGCTAAAGGTTTGACTTTCTCCGCTTTTTAAACCTTGTCCATGCTTTGCTTTCTTTTTATGATGTTCATTTTCTAATTTAAAAAAATTTAAGTGGCTTTTACTCATTTTAGGATTCAATTTGGATTTGGATTGTTATAGTTTCTTAGTGCCTTTCAAGGTTTTAAGTTTACTTTGGCTTTCGCTTATGTCGTAGTGTGACTATTTCAAATACAAAATAGGGACTTTAGTGTGTTTTCTTGCATAGGTGTATTCTGATTTTTGTGAACAAATAAGCCAAAGAAGTGTATGCATTGGGTTTGATTTACTTTTAAGCTGGTTTTGAAGAATGCATTTCATCTCTATTTTCAAGTTCCTGAAAATAGAAACTATTTTGAGACTCTTATGTGTATATTCTACTCTAATTGAATATTAAAAGTCTTCTACATCATAAGTCTGAACTCTTTTGGGCACCACGGACGTGCATCCAAGGCTAGTATAATACATATCATGATAAAAAAAATAAAATTTGTATACCAGATAGGGGTGAGCAATTTAACTGAACCGACGGCAAATTTTAAATTCGGTTTCGGTTTTCAGCTTTAATACCTAAAATATTCAGTTAATTCGGTTATTGGTTTTGGTTTCGGTTCTGGGCAATGTTAACCGAAACTGACCGAATAACTGAGCCCATAATTTGTATACCAGATATATGTCAATCTTTTAAGTTGTAGCCCACTTAAAAAACCCAATTCCCAATTTTGCTGTTTGCCCCAATCTCCAAGTCCCAATTCCCAAATTATGCTATGTCGCTCTCGGTCCTCACCATCTCCCCATTCTGACGTTCCCAAATTGATGCAGGAGAGGATCCATACTGACGTGAACTCCTTGTTAAGGCCTTCATTTTTCAATTTTTGTGTCTTTGGGCCTTCGGCCTATGTTTTAGTTAGCCCATTTATTTTTATTCTTAGGCCCGCTTTGTCTTCCATCTTTTAGGGTTTCACTCCCTTCGTTTTTCAGCTATTTATAGCCCGGCTTGTGGGCATATTTCGGCCAGACTATCATTATTTGAGAATATTTCATATACCTAGAGCGGAACTCTTCCCTAGCGTTTCAATCATTCCCTTTCTTTCGTTGTTCTTCTCGTTCTAGCCCTATGCCTTGGTTTAATTCGGCGTCAGCTGGTATCATAGCTCAGTTCGACAAATAAAGAAAGAACATCCTTCAACATCAATGGTGCGTGCACGAGGTCCTTGCAGGAGCCTCCATTCATTATGGACTGTTTATGAGGCATACAAAAGGGCCCTTGCCGTTGAGAAGCAACAGAACAGGAAGCCGGTGACCAACAACCGTCCGGCTCGACCCCAAGAGCCTCGACCGGCCACACAGGGAGTCTAGGGGACAGGGAGCTTCGGGTAGTACGATTAAGTGATATCGTTTTGGTGAACCTGGACATAGGGCGAATGAATGCAAAAAAACCCGCTCTACAGAAGAGCAAGAGCCTGTTTGTGGAGGAGAACATCGTTGTTGACGACGATGAAGTTGAAGAGTCTGGAGGTCCATTCTATGATGATTATGCAGAAGATGATGTTCTTTACGGGGATGGTCGAGGGAATTTGGTTGTGTGCAAGAGTCTTCTGGCCCCAAAGGATGATTTCTAAAGACGATTGGTTGAGGTCAAACATCTTCCACACAACCTGCACCATTGGAGGAGAAGTTTGCAAGATGATCGTGGATGGTGGTAGTTGCGACAACATCGTCTCTGACGAAGCTGTCCGGAAATTGCAGTTAAAGACAGAACGCCACTCCAAACCCTATAAGTTGTCCTGGCTACACAAGGGTTCCGAGGTGATAGTTGACAAGAAATGCCTTGTTTCCTTTTCAATTGGGAATAAGTATCATGATAGTCACTGGTGTGATGTCGTGAAGATGGATGCATGTCACATTCTTTTGGGAAGACCTTGGCAGTATGATCGTAGCATTGTACATGATGGACGAAAGAATACCTATTCATTTGTCATGAAAGGCAAG